AAAATAGCGGATACAATAAAACAAAATTACTGTTTTCTAGTGTTTTTTCTTAATATCTTATAATTGAGATTATTAATAAGTTAAATCTATACTTTTTATTGCTACGGACAGCTAATCATTGAATTTGATTTCAATAGATAATTTATTTTGATGATTGCAGGCTACAGTCGTTTCAATATGTCTGTAATCTTATATTAAAAATAAATCACTAAGTATGATTTACATCCAGCAAAAATGGATCCAAGTACATAATATCAACATAATGATATCCATAATCGCTACAATGACGTATACAAACACATTTTTTAAATTTTAAATTTAGTTTCATTGAGTCTTTTAATACTTATGTATGGAACATTTTTGTTTTATACTGTCCTTCATTGATTTTTATTTGTTATTTATTATTTATTAAGCAGTTGAGTAACTGTGCTAAATGTAAAATTGTTCTCTATTCATATTATTTTCCAGGTTCATAATTAATAATTTCATACAAATGGATTTTATCCCGTAGGTAACTATACTAGTAAATAATTACTATACAATATAATATAATGTAGTATATTGTGCAAAATACAGGCAAATCGAAATAATATAATGTATTTGTGGATTTGATAGGAGTTCTCTTTTAACCGACAGACTCATATCAGTGTATATTTATAATTTATATGCATTACAGACGATTTGCTTATATTAATTATGAGTACGTACTACATGTCTACATATTATAATGCATAAGGCATAAAACATTTTCAATTACAAGACTACTGATGGAAAATCATGAAATTATGTGCGCACTAGCTATTATTACGAATAAATAACATACCTTCAAAATGTCGATGAAAGTCAAGTATAAAAATACTTAAGGTATATAACATTATATATACCTGTAATATAAATGCATGTAATAGAGTGGGGCTGTTAGAACATAATATCTTACAGTAAAAACGACAAATAAAAAAAAACCACAAAATGAGTTCCAAAAGATAGGTGGGCCACCGCGGGATGGGCGTAAATTCTTGAGCAAAGATAAATCGTTTCGAGTGAAAATCGATTGTGAGCGTGGAGCTCAGATTAGCCTTAAACGGAGTAAACATTTTTCAACAGTTACCGTAAGCTAATATAATATAATATGAAATATAACGTTATATTATGGTAATATTTGTTGTTGTTTTTTTATTACTTAAATTAGGGCGGTAATTTATTTAGTATAGTTTGTAGATTTTTATGAAGTCTAACTACGGTTTTTTTTATTTAAAATCTACCAATTATTCATCATCGTTTATTATTTTGTCTATTGACAAATGATTTTAATGAATAAAAAACATTTTAAAGCATCATAAGTGTAAAACTGACTAACAACAATAAAATACATAACTTAAAAAAAAAAAAAACATTGGGGATCTATAATAATTATTATCCATTTAATGTTTTATATATTCCTACAATTGTTTTCTCTTCAGTGTTTAGACTATGCATTTTATTTATGACAGAAATGTTAATAGTACTATTATATTACATACAATGACTAAAATCATCTTTAATTATCATTTGAAACTTCGAAACAATAAAATAATACAATTATTAATTGCTCAGCGTATTATATTGTGAATATAATTTAAGTAAATACTACAATGCATACACCTAATATATACAATATATCTGTATAGTATTAAAGTCTGTTTAATATAATATCTTAAATATTAATGTTTCGTATTATCCATAATGATTCATTATTATTTATTTGATATTAAAATTGATTGATAACAATCGTTTTGTGAGGAATACCGAGAAAATATAGTAAGTTCTATTACCAAAAAGCACGACTATGATGTAGAATATTTATTTACGAATTCTAAATGTTTTTGAAATAATTTATATACTCAAACGGTTATCTCCGTCGAATATACTAAATGTTTGAGTCCGTGATTTCTTCTTCCGATAATATTATACATCATATTTAGCGTGGTTATATTTTTTACTGAACTGATTCAAAATAAATATTATTCACTGGATTTTCAATGACTTCAATGACTTCAAAGACAATATTATATTATAACGGGAACGATAAAAACATTGAATAATTGAAAAATGCAAAATAACAAGTCGACAATGCTAACAGTATTTTTTATGTTATTTTGTTGTGTGTATATTTAAACGTACGTTCGTTAACATTTTAAATTTCAATGAGTTTGGTTAAGAGCATACTAATTTCTCATAAATCAGATAAAAAATATTTTTTTAAAAATGGGAATTTGTTATGCTAACGATTATAATAGTATATAAATTTTAAAATGTGAAATGAGCACCAGACTGTAGATGCATTATCGTTGAAATTGTTCAAAACGAACTAATGTGGGAATCAAAGTGTAAACATTTTTTTTCGAATCTGAGAGTTAAAGTTTTAGTTGTTTTACGTTTTCGAAATTATATTTGTTATCTTAGTAACCACACCATAAACTCGATGTTTCGTTTTAATGTTGCAAATATTAACATAATATAATATAGTGTTTTAAGTCTTTCAAATTTCATTTTCCATTAGTATGTGTTTCCTGTCTTAAATTATAATAATATTATTTTAGCGTATATTAAGTTTTGTTTTCATGATATAATGTAAACTTGTCAAACTATCATAATAAAAAAGTAAAATTTGCCTTAATCTCATATACTTTTTACAATATCTGACATTGATTTTTATTTCTAATAATAATTTTAATGTTCGAACAATTCGTATAAATTGTTATAATATTTTAGTAAGTATATTAAATATTGTGAAAGTTATTTTAATCATCGTAATGGATTTAAAATTCAATAAAATAAATCGTGTTGTTTGAATAAAACTTATTATTCTTAATTATATGACTGAACAACGACTACACAAATCGAAACCCACCGGCTAACGCTGTCAAATATTCCTATAAATAATACATGCATGGATTAACAATCAACAATATTGGAGTGTTTAATATTACATTTATATTTAATTTATGAATGGGGCTATCGTTTTAAAATGTGGAACTCGCTTGAAGTGAATATTTTATTGTTAGTATTGTAATCGGCGGCTTGGATTATGATAATATGAAAATGTATTAAATATTGACGAGTTAATAATATATATATATATGTATAAATGTAGGTTTACGTTATTTTATCGAAATAAGAATTTTGCATATTATAACGTAGTTGTAATTATTATATTCCGACTTTCGATTGAAAGTTATAAATACATAATTTTGTGGAAAAAGATAAGTCGGGTCCGTCACGGAGGAGAAAATAATAATATTACAAGTAATGTTCTACCGTATTTCCGCGAAACATCAGCTTGTTTGCTTAGCGATATATTATTTCAAACATAATGTGTCTAATATCTGTGAAACGCAAACACCTCGGACGAAGCGGTTTATTATTGAAGATTGATCTTTTATCGCGCTGCTGTAATGTGTTCTATATTATATAATATTATATTGTAATACGGCTCGGCCTGCGACCACACCGCAATAATTGTGTACGTGGAATGTGTGCTGCAAATCGACCGGGATTGGACCCTATTCTTGAACGCATTAGTATTACCGTGGTAGCATTATTATGTGAATGTGACTATGTGAGTGGCGTCCGTTTGCTAATACCTGCGACCGTTCGCGTGCTTTCTAGAATAGTAGTGCACCTGGAACGAAACAGGCATTACCGTTTCCGTCGTCGGATCAAATACTACCTATATAATCCATTAAACTCCTAGCAGCATCCTACGACTCGTGCTATTAGACATAATGCAATGATATGGTGCTAGCTTAATAATAAATCGGTTTTGGTAAAACCAAAGCAATGACGGAAAATGTTTGGATACGAAAGTTTTTCTGGCTCGAAGGCGTAGGTAGGTAACAATTATATAGGACTATTTATTTGGATGCTCGCGTCCTTATTATACTGCCCGCTGACATATAAGCTTATACATTATGATTACCCTCAATACTCGTGATCATTGGCGCGTGTAACAAGCATTAACTGCCTATGAGTATAGGTAGAAAGGTTTAAAAACCAAAACTCAAAATCCGATAGCATAGTACACGACTTGGATAATTTTGAATATGACGTGTTTATTCGAAAAACTCAATGTTAGTGATGCGAAATATTAATTGAGAGGGTTCCGAGACGACAATAGTATATCATATCTACTACAGCTACAGCTGGGGTTTGCGAGCTTAAACTGTGTATGGAAAACGTTTGTTACTCTAAGCTGAATAAATATTCAGTTCTGTGCCAAACAAATTTAAATGGAAATCGTAATTAAAAAGATTTGTGAACGTTTTATTGAAATTTAACGTAAATCCGATAGGTACCAGCGGAGCTGTGGGTATACACAGCGTATAAGATATTATGATACATAATATTACGCACGCTTATGCGGATCGTATAATGTATTAACTATCTGGTTCAAAGCTATTTATAGTATATATTAGGAAATTAATCTCTATGAATATTCTAACGTAATTTCAAAATAACAGAAAGCATTAGCAGCGTTATGTTAATACATCCTCAGCTCGAAGAGTGAACATTTAATTTTAAACACTCTAAACGGTATACCCGCAGAGTAAAAATAAATAACAATAAACTTCTTATGTAAAATGTAAACTCTGTAATTAATTCGACCTGGAAAACAATTTATTAGAAACAACGCGATCGGAGTGGAAAGAAAGATAAAACGAAATTGCATGCCGTATCTGGTGACGGCAACACGTGTAAAAAAATTATAAAATAAACATAGATTGCCTGCAACCTCATATATTATATTTCACAGTATATGATTTTTTTTCTCTAGAGCAGGCTCCATGGAGATTAATAATAATATTATGTTAATTTATTAATTAGTAGACATTAAAGTAAATTTTATTCGTTTTTAAATTCCAAATTGATTTTTTTATTGTCTTCAAACAAAATTGTTTTAAACAGTTTCTCTAAATTTTTTTTAAATTAAAACAAAATTTAACACAGTTTTCAATATTAACATGGAAAAAAAATTCGATTATGCCAGTTTATTGAAGTCTGCTCGCAATTTAAAACATACAATCGACGAGTTGGTTTGTAAAAATCACAACGAAATAGGTATAAATATGAAATAATACAAATAAATGTCAATATTGTTTAATGTTTTTACTTTTTTGTAAAATGGTGTTTGCTAGATGTTATGGACATAGAATGTATGAGGAAATTAATCGAAAACATACTTAAAAAATATGAATTGGATGCCAAACACAATAACGGTCAACAAATTATATCAAATTGCGATAACGTTAGTGAAATAAACCACAATGTCCAAAGTAAAGTACGACACAAAATCAATTGATTATTATTTATTATTACTTCGTATAGTAAAAGCTATGAAAATACAACATTCATACCAATTATTAGAATAAAAAAATATATTATTTAGTATAATATAAAAGACACTACAATTTGAAGATAGGTAAAAGATTATGCAGAGTGATTCACCAAGCTCTTCACACCATTTTTCCTCCATAATGCAGTTATTCAAAATCTTGTTTTTGGAAATTTTAAGTTAACTTAAAAATCATATTTTCATATTAAATTGTGTGTTTGTGGAAGATTATATGAATTTAATATTACGAGTATCATGGTATTATTATAGAGGATGATTTCCAAGCATGTTGAGCCCCATTTTTTCTTTGATTATGAATATATTTAAATACTGACCTTCGGAAATTTTAAATATAGTTCAAGACTATTATACAGAGTGTTCCTCGAGAATTAACCCATTACGAAATCTCCTAGAATAATAATTATAACATAAATCTGTTTTTTTATTAGACTCAGAATAAAGAGACAAGGACTACATATATTTTTATTTTTTAATTAAATAAACATTTATTTTATTGGTAAAAAAGTAAAAAAGTTAATTTTTAATTTTTATTTTTGAAACGATTGAAAATATTTATCTTGAAGAGCTTATTATTGTGAAAATGTTGACGTTTCAACATTTTATTTTTATTAATTTCATGATTTTTAATCGTTTTTTCATAAGTAAGGAAAAAACTGGTTTTAGTCCTGGCGGCAAGTCGCTCTTTATGGCTAATGGGTATATTTTCACTGGGAACCCTGTATATTAACTAGTATAATAGGATATTTAGTTGATATCAACAAAATATTATTCATTATTACCTTGAATAACTGTGAAAAATAAAATAGACGAAAGGAATTATTGACGTATCTTCGAGTTGTTGTACTGAAACGATTACAATGAAATGTAATGAAAAGAAAAAAATGGAAGATAATGAAGATGAGTGTCGTAATATAACAAATGAAGACAATGGAAAGTGAATATTTTTTTGGCGACAAATCGTTTATTTTAAGATAACTTAATAATTTTGAATTTAAAATGGTTTTTATTTTCAATAAATAAAAACGAAAAATATAAATTGTAAAATTATAACAATGTATAATCATTGTTATATTATTTTATAGTAAACGACAAAACGATTTCCACGAAAAATGTGAATCACAATTGAAATTTTACGAAGAATACGTCAAGGAATTAGAGTGCCGATTAAAGGGATTTATCGAGTATATGATAGAAGGACAGCGATCGGATCAGAAACACATAACGGTAGGATAGAACATTTTCGGAACGTATAATACAATGTAGTATATTATTTTTTTCCACGTATAAAACATATAAATAGCTAATATCTCGTTTTCTACTTGGCTTGTGATAATGCGTGCGTAGAGGGAAATTTACCTCAAATCGACGATAGAAAAAATGAAAAGGACCGAGTGCTATTACAAGGGCATAGTACAAAGGCTGTCTGAGAAATTGGATTACGCGAGGAAAAAATCGGAAGAACGTCAAAAGTGGATCGACGGATTAGTGTCTAAAGCCGAGTTAGTAGTTTTCCCGTATTATGATATACCTCTACTTATTAATAAATGAGACTTTATTTTTTTGGAATAAAAACAATTACATTATAGACTTAATTAAAAATACATTTACGATGTACAGATGACTACCTAGTGAACTGCTATTCGTTATGACAATGTGAATATTATTTGGCAGCTATTCTTCAGTTCTTTAAATTCTTATTTAATACAAATTACATTATAAAATGTTTTGACTCTTACGAACAAAAAGTAAAATAAATTTCAATGAAACTATGAATTATAGAAAAAAAAAAAATTGATTAAACTAGGTATTAGGTAAAATAATTTTAAAACGACAAATTACAAATAATAGATATAATTAGTTTATACAATACATAATATATAAAATATATATTTGTCGTTCCACATAGAATATGATAGCTAAACTTAGAAAATAAATTTATAAAAAATGAATTAAGAAATTATTCTTACGTCAAATAAAACTGACTGTAACTAATTATTAATTCACAAATCCACAACAAACATCTTCATAACCCATTAAACGTGTTGAAACTGAATTAGTCTGCTTGCTTTACTCTTCCCGGTCTATATTTTATCTAATATATCTAGACTCTAGAGCATAATAAACTGGGTGGTCCATTTAGCGTAAGACACTTATAATTTCAAAAACTTTTAACATTTGGGAAAATATAATTTTAGATTATTTTAAGACATCAGAAAATAAAATTTTTCTATGGAATAAATATATCTTAACTGTATATTTATTTAAATTTTTTTTACGAATACATACTATTTAATTCCTTATTCCAAGCAATGTAATTTGATGCATGAACAATGTTGGACGTATAGTGTATGAATTATAAGTATTTGAAGTTTAGATGAGCCGAGTGGAGTAGTACAAGGATACACCACTAAATGTTAGTTCACTAGGTACAAGTTTTCAACTCTAGTCATCAATACTTTAAATACTCGTGCTCATTAGGTCATAGGTAACTCATAATCAATAAACTTCTTGTCCGAAATTTGAAATTTCGTACACAGGAAATACTTTGAAATTTGAATAATAGTCTGCTTCGAAGTATGAGATCAAAAATATATATGTTGACATTCAGTAGAGTAATTTACTCAAAAAACGGTGGAAATATTATTTTATTAAAAATCTTGTTTCGTAACAACTTGTGATAATCATATAGAATAAATGTTTTCGTATGCTTAAATATTTCTGAAATAACGAGGGTCTTACGTTAAATAGATCACCCAGTATATTATAATAATATTGTCGTTTATAATTTCATAACTGTTTTTTTTTTTTTACGTTTTACCACACATTTCCGGCGTAAAGACAACTGAGGTGTGCTGTCGAAAAAAACGCGATGAATTCGGCGGAACTGGCAAAAACTTTATCGTCGTTCGCGGTCGATCTGTCAGTGTCCAACCTGCTGCAGCATCCGGAAGAGGCGGTGGCGGCGGTGGTGGCATGCGACGACCGAAACAGGGTGGCAAATCCGTCCGGATCTTCTGAGATTGTAGATAATGGCGCTTCCGGCTGCAGTCGGTCTATGGGGGATGTGGAGGCCTCAGTGCAGGCAGTCGTCGACGAAACTTTACTACGACCGATGTTACACAGCACCCCGATACGGGACCTCCCGTGCCGCCGCGACTGCCGGTGCAGTTTTTCAGCGGACGAAGACACTGACGACGAAGACACTGACGACGAAGAGGATGACGATGGCGACGGCGAAGAGGACGACCATCCGGTGAACGATTTTGTAAAATATTGTTTATTATATTTTACGACCCCTTCCCCCTTTATTCCTTGATCCTTCCCCGTCATCGTCTCTTGTCGCATATTATATTATTATAGTTTCAAAGTCGTTTTGTCGACAAGACAAAATATATGCGTGGGAGATGAAAAAATACAATAAACGCTAATTATAATAATAATAATAATAATAATAATAATAATAATAATAATAATAATAAAGATAACTTTTCAAGTCGGATTGCTTCAAAACGGCCGCCGCCACCGTCAAATGCCGACGACCTAAAAACGACGAACCGAGTCGCCGATGTTCGAAACTTTTCCGGAGGTCGCAGAAGAGCACCGACGTGAACAACAGCGGGACGGAAACGGCGGCGCGCTGTGTTGGTGGATCGAAGCTCACCAGTGAGTGTAATAAATATTATCATGTTATACTATCACGTCGATCGATCGCGTGCTATATATTATACACGTGTACCTACTCGGCATTAATAATTTACGATAATTTCGTGAAAGTCGTCGTGGGCAAATCTATCGAACCGCAAACGGTTATACGAGTAGAACAGTTTTAACTAAATATATTTTTTACACAGGCGTTGGTCGAGTAATAAAAACATCTACCAGGTTATAGATAAGTAAATATTATGATCAATCACTTAAAAAAGAAAGTTCTTTTTTTTTAGTCTTGATTGTATTCTTTGCAATTATTTTTATTCTATTGTATTTGCATAGTTAAACATAGTCTTATAACAATGCGACTGTAGATAATATTGATTATTAGTGTTTCGATTTCATTTATAATGCTGAAAATTATATATTTCGATTGCTTATAGGTACATAAAATATGAAAAACACAAGACTTGGGTAAAATACTTTGAAAAAGTATTTGAAATAAATGTTCGAATACTTCATAAAAATAATAATAATAATAATGCATTTAAAATACCTATAAAATTAAAATACTTTTTAGTTTTATGTTTTAAATATTGAACCAATGTATATTTCTTCGATAAAAAAAGTCAAGTAGATCTATACTATCGTCTATTAAGTTACAAAACGGACCTCCTTAAAAATTAATTGGCGACCCCTATAGTATTACAAATCTAATCTGTAAAGACATGAAATTCTATATTCTTGTAAAATTATCCTCTTGTCTTATGATAATTGCTATTATGTGCTTAAAAAGTCATAGTAACAAATATATTGTATTAAAATTAACAATGTTTACTGGTTTCCTTACAATTTTCATAACATTTTTGATGCAGTTTATTATAAGTCTATACAACATAATAATATTTAATATTATGTGATACATATTGAATAGAAAGAAGTATGGAGACAGAAAAAATATGTCCGGTGACCTGTATCTGCTGCTGCAACCGACTGAACTCCACGGAACAGCAATCATAAGTGCCTGAAAATTTCAAATAAAACCAAGCGGGTGAATAAAAATATATCCTTAAAAAGGATGACTCGTATATATAGTATACCATTTTACTATAAAACTGCTGCAGCTGTAAAATACAGATTTTCGTGTACATTTACATCGGCGCGCACGTCATAATATTATTATTATTATTATATATTGGAACACTCAGGAAGACATAATAATATTATTGTATACGATGCACATGTAACATAATTTATTGTATATTTTTTTATTTATTTATACGTACACACGCATGCCTTGGCAACATATTACTGTGAAAGGCGTCGGTCTGATACTTATATCTGTGCACATCGATGAGTTGAGAGTCGAATATAATATTTACACTGTTGGCATTTATGCGGTTCTATAATCTGGCGTTTGATACTCGTTTTCCTCTCTGTTTCCATGTACCACGTCTTTTTCACGTTATTTATTCTCCTTCCCACTCCTTACTTCGGTCGGTCTGCGAAACGCGCATGCCACCGATGCACACGATATAATATAATAATTTCATTTACGTGACTAAAAGATGCCAAGAGAAAACATATAAATATAATGTTAACACATTACCAGGTTTAATTTTATTATTGTGTTCAAAAATAATATTAAAACATTTATCGTTAAATATTGTACTGTGGTCATCACCTACCGGCTGCCACCCGCACTAATGTTCGGCTTATATCGACATGGCAGTTAGTTTGTGTACATAAAATAATAGCATTATACTAGTGTAAGCAGACATAAACAGACATGAGGTATAAGTATCCCACAAAACTTAATGAACAATACCAATGGTCCAATACTATCTTATTCACAAGTTCACAACTATTGGAGGTACACAGAAACGCAGGTAAATATCGCATTAGTTTATGGAACTTATGATATGGATTGAAAATGGAAATACTTCAAAAACGATATAAAGGTAATAAAACGATTCATGTACGTCTGACCGAACACGAGTTTAAAGTGGAAAAAAATAATATGTAGTGAACAGACTCAGATTTAGTCACACGAACAGATCTAACGTTAACACCTGAAGAGGATGACGAAACATATATTATATTGTCTTACAAGCAACAAAAATATCACAGTTAAGTATATACCCGTCCATTGTCTAAATTTCTTGATACTAGTTGAAAGGTCGTTTTGCTGGCACCCACACTAAAGATCCTTCGCAGAACATTAAGAGCGCAACAGATATATTTAAATTTGAGCACAGAACATTATGCACTGAAGACCTTAGTTTGACTCCGACATTTGTAGTTAGGAGTGCCAGGGAATTGCATCTCGAAAAAGAATTATTATTGACATTAATTTAATTCAGATTTATTGAAATTTTGCAGATATCGGATTGAAAAAATGTTCTTATAAACTGTTCCCATAACCGCATATACCTATGATACTGGTAACTAAGAGGAAACTCTTCAACCACAGTTGTATACCGACATGCATATGAAGTATGTATAAATATGTCCTTTGATACATTTATATACTATCATTTATCAACGAAAAATGTTCGTAGTAACTCCTTTGAGACCTTTTAAAGAAATCTTTCTGATTTATTTGTCTATGTTTAAAATAACGTATTTCTATGACTTTGTGACTATTTATTTTTTTTAGACAAAATCAATTGGGCGTTAGGTCTATAATTGTCATTGTCAGAATGGTGGTGTTTGGAGAGTGATTCAAGAAATGTTAAGTGACACTTTTGAAATACATGCACTTCAGGAAGTGTAATTAATACAATTTTAATATAAAATTATATCTCTCATAAAAGTTTAATTTATTACTACGAAAACTACAGAATAATAGTTATTAATTCTAAGAAGTGGATGTCAAATCCGTCCAAAGCAGGAACTGACGACGCCCGTATTTCTCTATGTATAAAATTATTTCACATTCACAGTACGAATCTATATTTTATATCAAATCATGCGTTGTAAGTGAAAAATTGAAGTCATATTCCAAGCAATTATTGCAATATGCAACATCAATATTCTAAATTAATTAGAATATTTAAAAAAATGCGTTATTATTATTTTTTAAGAAGGCACCATACAATTACAGCGAAACAAAATTGAATTTATTATGTTTTTTAATCTGGCAAAATATTATGGTGGAGAATATTGTCTTATTGTATTACCTTGTACCTTTTCACTCGGAATCTATAACTTTTTAAATTATACATAGTAATGACAAGAACAAAATTCAACACAACATGTTATAAACTACACGTCGTGTAAATGTACAACATTTTGTATAAAATGATTGGATTTATTTTAGTCAAATGTTATGGAGAAAAGTAAAAACTAATATATTTTATAGCTATAGAGGAAAATATATAAATCTTACACGAACAACAGAAATAACATCAAAAATTCCGTAATATAAATTTCCTTAAGAATTTGTACCTATAACTGCTATTATATTCTTGTTATACTGTATTCAATTGTTTGAAATGAAAGAATATGAATTTTTTTTTAAATATAAGATATTATGATTTATGTAATTTTATAAAATGTAGTTAAGTTAACCAAACAACTTTTCGATTTTTTCTCTAGAAGTTTTCTAGAGTTATGGCCATTTATAGTTATAGGCTTATAGCTTTTTAGAAAGATGTGTTTTTCGATGTTAAATAAAAAGGAAAAGCATTCCTTCATGTTATTTACATGTATAATTGTATCACATAAAAATCAGCAGTTAACAATAAGTAATTTACCCATAATGCAGTCTGTTGGTGAGTGATGACTGTGTCGAATTTCACACTAAAATTGTTTAATAACAATAATACAATAATACACGAACAAGCTTTGTCTCTCAATATAGAAGTTACAGTTATGTTGTTAGCGTAAGTGAAAATGTGTAGGGGATTGAATAGCTGTATTTCAACATGAATGGTATTTACAATTTACTTACCGCTATTATTTTTATTGTTTTTTTTTTTTTGAACATCAAACTCATTGCTAGGTATTGAGTCGAAACGTATAATAATAGTGATAATATGTTATTTTGGGTTTAAAATTATAAAATATGCTTCGAAGAAATAAATAATAAAAACATTATAACCATTAAGAAATTCATTTTTAGAAACAATCAAAGATTTTGTTGTACAACGAATCGTTAATACCCTATAAACATTTCAACTAGACTAACATTGCATGAAATCAATTGATCGAAAATAATATTATTTTAGTTTAAAATCGAATAAACTAGGTGTACAACTACACTATGCGATATTATGCCGCAGAAAATTGTAACAAGCAATATTTCCCGTAAGGTTCAAAATATTATAATAGTGATATGCAGCCATGCAGGTGGGTATGTCATCAAAATAACTATTGTGTTGTAATAATCTAGTATTAAATTATCTACCTACCCATACTTTATCGTGGAGCCGCTCCAGCCGCCTCATTGATTTTTAAATAATCTGAAACGCGCAGCAGAGCGTATAGTAACCGCATGGGTAACATAAAGTATACGATTTAAAATCTCCGGTATAGCCGGTGCACGTAAATTGGAAACGTTCAAGTGCACAATTCGTGTAATGCTCTTTTGACATTCAGTCGGAATATTATTATGTACGTGCGTGAGTATAATATACGTACCTACTACCTATCCATATAACAGTATTATACCCATTATTGTACACAGGTATATAATGTAGGTACAATAAATTATGCTATTACAATAAAAATAAGTCGAAATCCCGTCGATACCTTTATTTTTCTCGGGCAAGGAGAAGTCCTCTTGACGATTCATTTACCTCTACGTGTTATATTATTATAGTTAGGTATATTATATATATATATTATATCTTATACATTAATATTTAATTCATAATACACGTGCGTATATAAATTGCGCACAGTACAACGAGTATTAAATATTTGATGAGTCGACTTTTCCCCCTGCACTTTCGGTCGCTGAAATCTACTTCTACTGTGCACATCGAAATGAAAGTAAGTTCATCGCGCATTGCATTTCTGCGATATCATTCGTATTATTATTTTATTACCTATAACGAAACAACAGTATGTTATATGTTTTGAACACGTCATATTTTCAAAACATTATTCGTTGGTATTAAAATAAAATATCGTGTTTTAACTAAACCGATATTGTGAGAGTGCTTGGTGACTATCGTTTCACAAGTTTGGTTGGAATATAAAAAAAAAAAATATATATAATTTCGTGGTCACATTATAATGCACACTTTCAAATATAATACACTTTTATGTCGTCTATAATGACGTAATATCATCCCGTAAAATACATTAAGCTCATTCAGCAGATGTTATTTTATTATTATGGCATGGTAATAATATTATGTCCTTATCTTTAAAACGTTCTGCATCTGAAACTTATAACTAAGACGTTGCACAGTCTGCGTGATATACTTTTAAAGACAGACTATAGTCTTCGAGGTGTAAGGTTCAACTCAGAGTTTCTAATAAAAGATGTCCACTGCGATTTTTCAATTGTCATTATTTTTATTTTACAATATTATTGGTTTGTTTATAGTAATTTTACAATTCAAATATTTACACCACAATCGTAACCTTAAAGGTAACGCATCTAACTTCACATGTTTTAATAATAATATAATATATAAATAAATAAACATACATTTATGTAATTTATATTTTGTAATTATGTTATGATATTATATAGACTAGATTGGAAATTAATATGTATGAATTTTGATATATTATAATCTTTAACAATAAAAAAAAAATAATAATAATAACAACAACAAATTATTATTATATAATAATATTCCTTAAAAACTCATATAATTACAAACGAAACATTAATAATAATAAATGGGAGTATTGTGTATTATAAAAGTTCTTATTATTTTAACGTTAGGTATACAATATTCCGAGCGCGATATAATTAATCGACGACGAACTAGATAATAATATGATAAAAAAACAGATAGTTTTTTCAACGTTCAATATAATACATATTTATAGGTAATAATATATACAGGATACAATAAATCAATGAAGTTAATAGATATAATAAATTACAATAACAACAGAGTTTTAAAAATATTCATCGTTGAATTTTTGTTGTACAAACTTATTGACAAAAATTAAAATCTTAATTAATGAATATTATTTCTAATTAATTAATGAACATTAAACTTAATTTATTCCGTTGAAGTTTCAATAAAATACTTTTTTTTCCTTTTTACTCTAACTTTTTTTATCCAATAATAATAATTTAAATATACGATACAGCAGCAAAACCAAATGATCAAATTAAATGGTTTTTGACTTTGTAAATATATTTTCATCTTTAAACCAATGAATATTGAACAATTTATGATTCTACTTGATGAGTATTAAAACAAATGAAAGAAGTTTTTTTATCATCAAATTATTCAGAAGCATACAAAAAAAAAAAAAATTAAAAAAAGTGATATTTAATTATTTGAGTTTGAGACATGCGTGGAGTTGTCTTATTACCGCTCGAGGTACGTAATACACATAGTACCTAATAATAAAAAATAAATATATAAAGAAATCATGTTTAGACATATTTTTAAAAATGATAATAATATTATGTAAAAACATTGTAAGAGGTATGAGTTGCAATGTGTACTCACAATATCTTGTTAAAATAAAAATTAAGCACTTAGGAATAACAACCAACATTAAACAAAACAATATTATAATAATATAGCAATAGTTCCTATTATAATAATTATTAATTATAACAATTACAATAATTATTTAATACATATAAGTACAAATATGTATTTGTGAAAAATAAATAAAAGATGGGTATTGTGATTTGTGAATGATTAATGTTACTACTTATTTATTTATTTTTTTGAACAACATAAAAAAAAATATTAAGTTAAAATACCTCTATCTGTTTTTTATTTATGTTTTTGTTAATTGTTACAAAAAATATTATTAGTAATTTAGGATTTGGTAATTTAAATTTTGATAATTACGGTTAATAATAGTATTATAATATATTTATTGTAATAAAACATTAAATTATATCCTGGTGTTATTATTTCACTAAATCCTGCAATATTTTGTTTCAACAAAATATGTAATAATAATCAAAGACAAACTTTGTTATCTATTCTTTGAGCAAAAATGACCAGTAGTCTAAAATCATATTACATTATTCTGATAAAATATTAATCTGATAGTCTAAACACGTATGTAAAATATATGTACACACACACATAATTAGAAATTATAATAATATTTATGTTACAAAACAAAGTTTGGTTGTTTGGTTGGCTGAAAAACAATTTGTATTTGTCCAAAAATTATGTTATTAAAAAACTAAAAACAAAGAAAACGAGAATTAAATAAAAGTAGATGGTCATATAAACACGCATTCCTTGAACATTTTTTCGGAACAGAATATGATTAATATTTGATTTGGGAATATTAAAATTACATTCTTGATTATTAATAATTTAAACTATATTAAATCTGTGTACGTCGATAAGACGGTCACAGTTCACTGACTATAACTTAGAAATAATTCAAATAGAAAATATGGGAGACAATTTTATTCAACTTTACTTATTACAACCTTCGACTTAGAATTTTTGAGTAGAGCTCGAGTTTCAATATATTTGATTCTTTTTAATGGTACACCTAACATGGTGATTTCAGAGCTATACATTTTCTTTATTGCGTACTATAATCTTAACAATGATTTTTTAAGGTGTTTTCTATGGGTTTCATGTTTATGGTATTTTTTCATTTGATAGACAACTTTTATCTAGTTTTAAGAATACGACAAAAGGTACATTCATACATGTTTTTTTCAATTGTTAAGGTCATTATAATTTGAGCCCTACTAATGAGACAAATAATTTTACATATTTAATGTAGGTTTATTAAATTAATAGTGTTTTGGATGATAGATTTTATTTTTAAATCGTAATTCATCAGCTAATTTTCAATTATTGAAGTATTGAAATTTGAAAGTAGTAATTTTATTAAAAATATTTTTGATATTCTGACAAAATATAGCACTGGAAATTTATTATTGGTATTTGTGAAGAGAATTAAAAATATAATTAAAACTGAGCTTGAAAAATATGAATAAAAATCTTTAATCCGATTTTATAGAAGTCAACTCTAAACGTATTTTAAAATGTCTTCTCATTTGTTGTTATTGTTATTATAACTGTGTAATTTAATTGAAGCATACAAACAATTCTCGCTTTTCTAGCGTTATGCAATTTAAAAATAATTTTATTTAAAGGTAAGTTTACGTGTTTATTAATTTCTCAGAGTACATTTTAGCAGGTAGAGTAATAAATTGTTATTTTAATTAAACATTTATAATATGTTTAGTCTTTACAATACTATTTGGACATTTTGAAATAAAAATAGTTGAAAAAATTACATGGCTTTGAGATAATTTTTTTTTGGATTTCGCTTTCTAAGTTGTGTGTAGATATAATATACAAATGCCAAAGAAATATAATATAACATTACGGATTTTCTAAAAAAATTAAAATAAAATAAAATATTCATCATGCTTACTTTTGTGAGAGAAATATTATGAATTACATTTTCATGTACAATAAATTCATCCTACAACAATTGATGATCGTATATTCGTATATAATACTATCACCTAAAACCACTAAAATTGAGTACAATAATTACTAGCACATAATAATATAGATCTACAAAAAAAAAAACTTTAGATAGAGATAAGATTGTATTGTGATTACTAATTTAACTGATAGTAAAAGTTGAAAACGTATGGCGTAGTGATAACAGTTATATTATAACGAGGCTTAAGAGCATTTAACCAGCCTAAAAAGGATTTTTATGATCTCGGCATAAGTAATTTAATTTCGCTTACTACTTATTTGAACTTATCATTTTTAATGGATATTCAGTCATCAACTCACACAATAATTAGTAAACAAGTTTTTAATTACTGGTGAAAACTTAAATTTTTGTTAGTCAGTTGTAAAAATAGAATTTTATGTCAAAGTAAAACCCCATAATAGTCGAAACCCAATGACATGGTTGTTAACTATTTTTTAATAATACTATGATAATATTGTTAGAATAAGTCGAGTGATCGTCGTCGTCTTTGTCGGCTTAAAGACACGAGAGATACCGGGTTCGTTTATTATCGTCAAAGTTTATCGTACACGTATATTATAATATCGATACGACTGAAATATCAATAGGTAGGTAGGTCTTGCAATTTTTTGTGACTTGTAATCAATAACGACAATCTCAATTTACAGTTATATTGGATTAGATGTGAGAAGTTCAGTGTGTAGTTAATATTTTGACAGTTTTCTTAAAAATCGCATATCATTGCACATCGATCTAAATAAATTTGTTTTAAATTTCAAAATCCAAGTTGATAACTCACATATACTTATATACGTATTAAGGAACTGTAGCAGACGTAAGTAGATCCGGCATACTAATGTGTGTGTGTCGGTTTCTCGAAAGTGTCAGTTGCTTCAAAAATTGAATAAAATTATTGATATCTGCGATTGGAAAAATTGTATTCATGTTTGTAATATTTCTGTGCAGATATTTATATCTTTTTTTTGTACAGGTACCTACTTATAATTGTCAATATTGAAGCCCCATAAACTCCTCATCCTTATAGTTATAACTAGGGCCCGGATTTCATTGCAAAATGCATTTTCTAGGTAGTCTAGGACATAGTTTAGTACATTAAGTACATAATTCGTTTCATGTACCAGCTGGTTCTTCAAAAGATAACTTTTATTTTTCATGTTTTAGCACTTCAGGTCATGTTATTCATTTTTAGTGCATAATAATATATTAATACGCCGTACAAGCAATGGTCGAAGTGGCTCTGAAAATAAGTGGAGGGATGCCTTTCATAATTTATAGCTGCCTTTCATAGTCTTTATATATCGTTTAAATAGTCATACAGAATAAGTTGAGAGACAGAAAATGTGAATTATTAAAAGTGGAGGGATGTCATCCCAACGTATCCCTCACTTTAACCACTGGGTACAATCTTTTGTAAAAACTATTCAATTTAGGAAATTCAAAATATTACACTAATAAATATTGTTTTCATAATATAAATATTAATAGTTTTCAATCGTGCATGAGTTTGGTTTTTATTTCTTCGTAATATTGTTTTCTTAGTTAAAAGAAGAGCTGAAAATTCTAAAAATTAAATTATCGTTTAGTTTTCTCACGTAGTTGAGTGCCTACTAACAAAATGTCGGTCATTTTTCAAAGGTATTAATGAGTTAAGAAGGAATTTTGTTTATTTTTTAAAGCATTTATTCATAGTTTTTAGAGTGTTCAAATTCGGGATCTAGTTATAACATTATAGTTTTAATTTTAGTAATAATATTATGGTAATAATTTAATAATAATTAATGATACGATAAATTTTAATAATAATCATATGTTACAGGAAGTGACTGCGAGTGCATACGACTGCACATGCAATTATTGATGATGATGATATATGGTTGATGCACACACACACACACACACACACACACACACAAACAGCAACGGCTTCATTTGCCGCAGGCGTTCGGTGCGAAGCTCTTGCCGGTGCCGTCGGCCACGGGTCAAGTGCCTATCCGCATTAGTTTTTTGAACGCCTTCCGGAATTCCGGGTTGAATATCGTGTAGATCACGGGGTTGACGAAGCTGTTCATATAGCCCAGCCACGTTGTCAGTATGAACATCCGGACGCCGGGTGAACACTCCTTGTCCAGCTTGTGACAAATCGCGTCCAGTATGTTGCACGTGAAGAACGGCACCCAACAGAACAGGAACACTCCTGAAACACGAAACGTTATTATGACGAAATTTTTATAATAATCGTGTGGGGTGGGGGTACGTCTCGAGTAGGGCAAAATTGTTCGAATTGGCGGGAGGGGATGGCGGGGCACCAGTAGAAGTGTCCAGCGATTTTTTTTTTCAAGTAAAACGAGTAAAATGTTACGATACAAATTTAAGATCTCTACGAATAAAAATATACAGGAAAAGGTCATGGCATTTTATTTTTTTATAATGAAACAATTGCTGGTCCTCCGGCTTCCGGTCACTGGTATAATTGCGGTGCCTAGGGCAGGGTCGAAGTCAACAATGTTATACATAGTATAATAATTTTTGTATTTACTGACAATTTGAATAATTTCTGCGACCAACTTTTCAATTCAACCGACTTATTTTGGTGACAAAATTATTACTTGAATGAGCATCCAAACAAAAATATTCATTTTTCAATATATTTTGATGTTCGAATGATCTGAGATCAGTAACACAAACTGCAGTGATACATCTGTATGAAGGACTATTCTGTAGTACTCATGCGCCTATCCTATATCTGAACTTTACTATAAGTAATATTGTTTTAAGTTATTTCAAATTATAACTATCCCATGGTTCTGTAACTCAGATTATCATAACAATAATATTTATTTATTATTATTACTTTTAAAACAAGCGCAGTAAATATTAACTTTACTAGAAATGAAAATGAAAATATCCCATTAGCTAAAATAATTATTTATGAATTACTCCTAAACTAATATATACAAATTAATAGTAATTTTAATTAATCAAAATACTAATTTTTTTAATTCATATTTAAATTGTCAGCTCTGGAATAACTTATTAATTTATTGCAAGTAAAATACCATTAATATATTCTGCATAACTAAGAATATTATAACTTCAAATTTGTAATATGTAGATTGAACATTTAAAGTAAAGAACAAAGACGGTCCTTAGTAACTTAATTTTTATAACTATTCAGGACATTGATTAAAATTATTTATTAACTGACACGCCCAGAAAGTTTTTTTAAAAAATATTTTTCTTGATTTACAGTATCCTAGTAAGAGTTGAATTTCTGCTGTTTTCTTTATCAAAATAAAGTAGAAAAACGTCATCTGATAATTATAACATAAAGAAAAAACTACAAAATATGTTTTAAAAAATTTTATTACGGTTTTTTTATTTAATAGAAAATTCTATTTTTTAGACATAAAATCAAAACTAAAGGTTTAAGTATGTTTTTGTTCGGATTTAATGTGTGTATGACTATGCGTATGAGTGTTGTTGTGCATGAAAGTTACAAATAAAGCATTTAAGGCATATTCAATTAAATTAATAAATAATAATATAAATACTACACTGCAGTGATATTACAGTTATTAGCTAGTATGTGTTATTATGGCGTTACTTGCATAGAGTAATATTACTATATGGTTAATTATAAGTTATAGATACACTGATGATGGTAGTTTTAACGTGTATATTTTTTCAAACGAAATGAAAATGAAATTACAATTTAAATATAGTGTGCTTGACCTCAGAGTTCTTATACAAAGGGCAAGTTATTCTTATATACATCACTAAACATGCTCATCTCACTACATCATTTAAGAGGACGTCACCCCGAATGTGTTGTCTCCATCTTACAAACGTAAAATATAGATGATTTTAAGTGCACAATAATCCATTTTATTATGTTATTTTTAAAATTAGAGTGCATTATAAAATTTAAAGGTAAGAAAAGGTATTATATTTTGGACTTCTCGGAAGCTTTTATTTATATTTTAATTACGAATGGAAGGCATTATAGGAGGTAAATCATTTTTATGGAATATGTTTGAGTGAAGAAGTTACGTAAAATATAAAAATAGATTTACTAGACTAAATATAACTATATTTAGTATTTATTACATTAAGACAACTTTTGTTATAATTGTATATATTAAAAAATAATAAATATACATACAATTGAATTTCGATTCATGTATACTATGTATATTCACATTTTCATAAAAAATCCCTATATTAAGAGTTTATAATAAAAATAATGTCGACACGTGATACTTCTTTAAATTGCATAAAAATGAAAATGGCAAATAACTCTGTAATATAATTATAATAATATATGAATTCTTGATGAATTATGTTATATATTCGGATATTGAAAATCCTGCACTTGAATTAATTTTTTTCAAATAATTATAAGTTATTAAAATATCCTCTCTAAAATATAATATAATAAGTATAAAACAATATAATCGAACTACTTTATTTGATTAAGAATAATACTAATGTGTGAATTCAAAAATGTTAGTTTTTAAGTAGTAAACCATGTTTATTCTACGTAGGTTGTAGAATGTAGATAGGTATTCACTATTTTGCCATTTTCGAATGTCCTAAGAGTTTTCCTTATGCACTCAATTATCTGTACCGAATCGACATTTTTACCTTCTATATGGTTTAAACCACAGCACAGAGTTTAAAAACCAGAGAGTTATACTTATGCGTGTTTGGTTATTCATTTAATAGTACGTCACACAAGAATATCAGTTATAGCAATATATAATATTGGTTAAACTCGAGAACCGGCTTGTCACAGCTCGGCGGCTAACGAGTTTCAGACAATTTTAATCAGACGATAAAAGTCCTATCGGCAGGTGTGGTGGTGTGGATTACGCAGAGCACGTTTGGGTTTTTGAAGCCGTGGAAAATATGCAAGGGAATTAAACCCATCGTGGACGATCACACCAGACGTCCCGGTGACGGCTGTGTAATGAACAGTATACTACTATTGTAATGGAATAATATAAATTATATTATATCATGAGCAAACCACTGATAACGCGACGCAACGACAATAATAATAATGATGATGACAATAGTTATATCACTGCGGTTTTCATTACAGAAGCTGGCGATGACGAGTTTGTGGGTTGGACATATGTGCAGTATATTATACACATTGATCACCGCAACTATGTTGACTCCAATATTTTTTTTTTTTTTTTTTAATTTATTCAACTACGGATTTTTACAATTTTTAAATGTAACATATTCAAAGACAATATATATATTCTCAAACATTTTTATAACATTTTAAAAGTGTCCTGGCATTGGTGACATCCGCTTTTTTTTACAAATAAAAAAACACCGTTGTTTTATATAAATTGTAAATCAGGCGTCTCTTTCAAAATGTTTATGTATGATGTATCTAAATCGAATTTCGAGAGAGTGGTTTTTTTAACTTTGTGTATTGAGAATAGGATCTATTGGTGATTGGACCGTGTCATAATAAGTTTAGAAGATAAGATGGCTATAATGATTCGAAAATTATAGTATAGTACATCGTACTAATCCATCGACACTTTATAATTTGCAAATAAAATAAATACTAGATCCAACTTTACAAAATAGATTTTTATTTTTGTAAAAGCATTTTTAAATAGTTTTACCCATGCATTATATACATTTTAATATCTCAGGAGCTATACTCGCTTAAATTTGGCTTTTCCATTTTAAAATGTCAAAAATATTGTTTGTTTAACAGTTTACTGAAAATAAGTCAATATCATTTTAAAAAAAAAGGAGTTAGAAAATTATATGAATAACTAATCTATGTATTTGAAAATACGTACCTTATACGTATTTCAAAGGTCAGAATTTGTATGAATAAATTATTAAATCGAAAATTGGGTTGACCATGGTTGCAGTGGTGGATCTAGTGCTTAATTTCGGGGGAGGCGAAACTATAAAATAATTTACAACATCAATACTACACACTACTGTGGAGAACACGGGCTAAAACATAGGGTAATTACATTGCTTCTTTCGCCACTGCATAGTTTCAGGTGAATCACTGTGTATGTATTGGTAAAAGGGTCGGTATTTCGTGAATGTTTCGGCCGCCATCCACTCAACTACTACTGCAACTAGGTATATCGTGTGACTCTTATTTACCACACTTTTTTTTTTCGTACTGCGTCCCATCTAAAAAAATGCAAACTCGTCCGAAACGCGGCCACCTTGTATTATACAGAGTGTCCGTGGTAATAAATTACGTGTGATTAAGTCTTTTAATACGCAACATAGAGTGGGATAAAATAGTGAGCGTAGTAAGTGCAACACTATAGTTTTTTTGATATTTCATTTTTTTTATTTAAAAAAGTGCCCAAATCGTTTTAATTGTTTTAATTTCCAACACAGATAATAAGTGAAAAGAAAAAAACTACTACAAGACGTCAAACTTCAGCTTACTGTTTTTTCGAAAAACATAAAAGCAACGAATACCATAACTATCTCTTAAAAGTATAATATTTGTTGGATTTATACTAAGAGAGAGATAGCAACAGATCATTTATTAAAATATTGTACTTCTATAACTCTGTACACTAGTGCTCAATAATAGACACAATATCAAGTTCTGTGAAAACATAATATTATTATAATACTATTATGTACTATATTAACTTATTAATTGAACTCTTGTCGAGAAATAAACGTTTTTCGATATTTTTAGTAACTACTCCAAACTAGATTGGCATTTTCTAGAGAGAAAATTAAAAACAAAGTAAATATTTTTGAAGATAATGAGTATTCACTCTTAAATGAAATCTCGAGCATCACGCATTGAATTTGTATTGTTTTCTCTAATCGTCTACCAATATATGTATATACGTATAAACGAAATTAATTCAGAACAAAAAAAGTCATCATTGTTTTTCGGTTTTTAAATTATGTTTTTCATTTAAAAATGTATTGTTCGGTATTCCCAATGAATAGTTTTTTTATGTATGATAACTACCTATATTCTTCAACCTTTAAGAAAGTGTATATTACTAAGCTCCACAGACGTAACCCGAAAAAATCACATAATATACGAATATCTTCGGGTAAATATGAAAGTAATTGAATAACAATATAAAAATAAGAACCGGGAACGGTTTAAAATAAACATTCATGTATAGACACCTCACTTACAGATTACTATAATTTAGTATG